TTTCTGCTTCGTGCTGGGCCTCTCTCTTGCTTCTGTCCCTATAAAACCAGGGTAACAACAGGAGCAGGTGCACATACAATTGGCTATGATTATGTAGCACAGCTGTTGTGGAATAGGGCCACATGTAAATGTTTCTGTTGCAATATGGATGTAACTCTGAGCAGGATGATGTTAGTAATGCTAAAAGGCAGCAAGTGACTCAGGACCTACTTTTGCTATTCCCGTGACTCAAAGACAATTTATTTTCTTTTTATTTAGAGTCACTTTTACAAAATTATTTTATCTGCAACCTTGAGACCCAATCCTGCAAACTCTTATTCACATGTTTAACTTTATGTTTGACTTCAATGGGATTACCCATATTTGTGTAAACCTAAGCATGTGCTTTGAAGATTTGAGGCCACAGATGCCAAGGTTTAGGCCACAAATTTGTACTAGATTCTGTATCAACAGACACTCAGGGGTAAGGAGGAACCCACTGACTGCAGGGATCTACCACGAGGAGCTCCTTTCAAGAGGAGCCTCGGGTACATTTAGACAGCAGGGCTATTTCGGGATACCAGAGGTATCCCAAAATAGCTACCCTGCATCTTTTAAACATCCCCATTATTTTTAAATATTTGTTCCACTAGGGTTAAGGAATGTGTCAAAATAGCACGTTATTTCAAAATTTTGTGTTGTGTTGATGTGCTGTGTCAAAATAGCACGTTATTTCAAAATTTGGTGTTGTGTTGATGTGGCAAATTTTGCAATGAGCTATTTTGAAATACAATTGAAATAAGATATGCATTCTGCATATCTTATTTTGAATTTAGAATGCTGTGTAGTAGGGATGTGAAGGACTAGTTGACTAGTCGACCATCCGATAAGCAAATGCTTATCAGAGAGTCAACAGGATAGTTAACTAATTGCTTCCCCTCCCCGCCTTACTGCTCTATCAGTTAGAAGCAACAAGACGGGGGAGAAGAGGGGTTCTTCAAAATAGCTGTGCCACTTGAAGCTTGAGGCCAGGCCCCGGGCGCCATGCAGCACTGTCGCTTTGAAAAGCTGCATGCAGCCCGAGGCCAGATGGGGTGTCCCCAGGCTGCATGCGGTGTTTCAAAGCAGAAGTGCTGTGCGGAGCCCGAGACCATCTGTGGATTCCAGCTGTCCCCGGGGTCTGTGCAGCACTGCCTCTTTGAAATGCCACGGGAAGCCCGGTGTCAGGCTCCTCGTGGCATTTCAAAGCAGCAGCGCCACGTGGAGCCCAGGATCAGCTGGGGACTGCCCAGCTTACATGGGGCTCCATGCGGCATTGCTGCTTTGAAATGCCGCAGCGGTGTTTCAAAGCAGCAGTGCCACACAGAGTCCCCAGATGACCCAAGGCTCCAGATGGTGCTTTTGCCTTTGAACGTAACAACAGCCCTAGGGCAAAATGCACCAACGATGCAACTAGTCAATTACCTGATACTTAACATCCTCACAGTGTAGTAGATGCACCCTTACAGCCCTTAGAGGACAGAAGCCTTTGTTTTAGTCTGCAGGGGATTTTGGAACAGAGTGGGTATATCCCTGAGCAAGAGAGATTGTAACAAATTCAAAGAAAGTGTTTTTGTTTAAAACATATGCACATGAAGGCAGAAATAGCCCACCATAGTAATTAGAAAAAATCAGTACTCAGGTTCCTTATGTCTTTTCCTGCACATGCCTTTTTTATGTTTTTGTTTTCATTGTTGTTTACTGTTTTTACCATTTAACATAATGTACATCAGTGTTTCTTAAACTGTGTTCTGTGGTACATGAGTGTGCCATGAGGCAGTCAGAGGTGAGCCGCAGAGAACAACAGAATTCAAAATGGTGTTCATCGGTCTTAAAAGTTTAAGAAACACTGATGTATACCCATTACTAAGGAATCAGAAAATACATACCTAGCATTCCTGTGTTTTAATTGTAGCTCTTCTTTTGCCTTGTGCAAGTGATTCAGGCCTTGATTCTGAAAGCTAATCTGTGTACATGGACATTTATACCTATAGTCAATGGGATTCTGCACAAGTATATTTGGATCAGTTTGCAGGATGGGAGCCTTTGCCTTGCTTTTCTCAATTGTAAAGGAAGGATATTAGTGATCTACCTTACAGGGCTGTGGATTTATTCATAGTTATACCCCAGTCCAGCTAAGTCCAGCTAAGTACTCTGTCTGAGTGGACCCCTCCATTTGCACAGAACTCAGTGGCTTCTTCCAGTTGTCCACCCATATCACCTTACAAGATTGGGGTCTGAATGTTTGCAGTATGTTTTGAAGATTAAGTGATATATTGTGTAATCAGTTTTTATTCCAAACTCTCCATTGATTCATTAATGACTGTACTGCGCAAAGCTTGAAGATGTTGAAAAAAAAAGCCAAAGTGGATTTCAGAAGAGAGTGCCTGTAAAAAGTTCTGAAAATCAGTATTTGGACGAGTGTTATTACTATTGTGTTCTCCCAGGATCATATCCATACACAGGAGGAGGACGCTCAAAACTGCTTCTTCTGTTTGGAAGGTAGTCACTCTACAGCACAGTTGTCTCATTTCCTGCCATATAGACTCCTCTGTGAATCTACATGTGAGGAAGGGTTAAGGGGGATTTTGGGTGAGGGAGCACTTCCATTTGAATGGCCTGAACTTTTATGCTAGTAAGGGGTATGTTCAAGGAAAGTGGAACCAAGATACCAGGGAGCTGCAACTCAGTTGAACTAGGCTCCAGGACTTGATTCTTTCATCGCAGTAAAAATATAACCTCTGGCTACGTCTACACTGGTATGAATTTCCGAAAATGCTTTTAACAGAAAAGTTTTCCGTTAAAAGCATTTTCGGAAAAGTGCGTCTAGATTGGCAGGATGCTTTTCCGCAAAAGCACTTTTTGTGGAAAAGCGCCCGTGGCCAATCTAGACGCGGTTTTCCGCTAAAAAGCCCCGATCACCTTTTTCACGATTGGGGCTTTTTTGCAGAAAACAGTACTATGCTGTTTACACTGGCCCTTTTGCACAAAAGTCTTTCGGAAAAAGACTTTTGCCCAAACGGGAGCAGCATAGTTTTTCCGGAAAAGCACTGATGATTTTACATGAGATCATCAGTGCTTTTCCAGAAATTCAAGCAGCCAGTGTAGACAGCTGGCAAGTTTTTCTGGAAAAGCAGATGATTTTCCGGAAAAACTTGCCAGTCTAGACACAGCTCATGTGTCCAAGCCATAGAGCAGAAGTGGAGACCCTTTTTTCTGTCACGTGCCTCTGATGCACAGAAATAACTTAGGGCCACACTAACAAGTGAGGCGAAAAAAAAGCCATAAACCCTCACTCATTTACTTCACTTGCACTCAACTTGGGATACCATAGCTTCGCTCCTGCTCCAGCCCAGCAGGGCATAAGGGAAGGAAGGAGGGTGCCAAGGCCTGGGACTTCTGGCTGGAGGTGCAGAGACTTGCCATGAACCAAGTCAAATTAAGTAGGGTGCCTGATCTGGCCCATGAGCTGTAGGTTCCCCTCCCCTAATTTAGAGTGTGGAAAAGAGACACAGGATTGTGGAAACCTCTGCAAGGGAAACTTCACAGAGCTTTCTTCTACATCATCTTGGGTCTTTAGAGATGTTTAAATTTAGGGACCATTATGATCATCTAATCTGACTTGCAGAATAATACAGGCCCCTCAGAATGTCCGCTGTTAGTTTCTGAAGTAAGCCACATAGGCTGTGTCTAGACTGGCCAGTTTTTTTCCGAAAATCAGCCGCTTTTCCGGAAAAACTTGCCAGCTGTCTACACTGGCCGCTTGAATTTCCGCAAAAGCACTGACGTCTCATATAAGATTGTCAAGTGTTTTTGTGGAAATACTATGCTGCTCCCATTCCCAATACTATGCTGCTCCTTTTGTGCAAAAGGGCCAGTGTAGACAGCTCAGATTTGTTTTCCACAAAAAAGCCCAGATCGCGAAAATGGCAATCGGGGCTTTTTTGTGGAAAACAAATCTGAGCTGTCTACACTGGCCCTTTTGCACAAAAGTTTGGGAGCAGCATAGTATTTCCACAAAAACACTGACAATCAGGGCTTTTTTGCGGAAAAGCGCGTCTAGATTGGCACAGACGCTTTTCCGCAAAAAGTGCTTTTGTGGAAAAGCGTCCGTGCCAATCTAGATGCTCTGTTCCGAAAATGCTTTTAACGGAAAACTTTTCCATTAAAAGCATTTCCGGAAAATCATGCCAGTCTAGACGTAGCCATAGTGTAATGGGGGGAGGGAAGAGGATTGTGTAAAACTGTTTGCTTTCCCAGTTAGTTTCCACCTACCCAGAATTTTAAAAGTATGTATTAGATGGCTGCCAGATCTTGCAATATTTATGGCAGGGCTGGCTATAGACAATGTGTCCCTCCTAAATCCTGCATTTCATGACTACACCTGAAGCTCAGATTTCATTTTTGTAAATTTCTAGCCCTCATTTATATAGAAAAGCCCGAAAAGCTGAACCTAAAGGCGACCCCAAATAGCAAATAAAAAGACTCCAAAATGCTAATCCCCAGCAATCTTGTGAGTCTTTTGAGCCAGCTTTGTGATGTGGGAATGCTTGGAGCAGGCAATTCCGCATGCCATTCCGTTAACATATTGTAACATGTAATGAAGTCTGAGAGGGATGGGGTGAGAGAGATCACCACTCCAAACAAACATCTAAAAGCTTAAAAAAACCTCCGATTGCCGAGCTATAAAAAACGGATCTTTCCAAGTTTATTCGTTTATATCGGCCCATTTCTCACACTTCAAAGCAAAAATAAGCTGAACATGATCCCTTCCGTTTCTCCGCGGCGTTGCAAACGATTTCCATTGGTATTAAAGGGGGCAAAAAATAGAAGGGGAGACACCAAAAACTAAAGTTGCTTGGATGTGTACAAGGAGAAAGGAGAGAGGGGCCGCTGCAAAACGGCCCACCCCTTACTGGCTGCCTGAGCTGCCAATCTGTGCTGTAATCCTGCAGGAATTTCTCCTGGGCTTAACTAGGAGTCGCTCTGCTGCCTTTTCACACGCAGAGGAGAGGACGGAGACAGTCCCTGCACTGACCGAGGGCGAAGGGAGCAGCTCGGGACCTGCGAAGCTCCGCTCTCCCCACTCCTGCCTCGAGCCCCTCCGCGCGCCCAAACTTTTGCTCCCTCGTTTATTGATGCAGCCGAAACTGTGTCAGGAAAATTAAAATCCCCTCGGGGCAGGAGGGAGGGAGGGAGACACCCTCCCCACCAACCAACCAACCAACTCCGCCCTGTGCCTAGTGGGATTCCTGCCTGCAGGCAGCCAACAAGTGAGAAGCGGCGGCGCCAGAGGCGGCTGCGGGAGGGAGGGAGCGGAGAGCCCGGGATTTCTGTCGCTGGTGCTGCGGGCTCTGGTAGCGGCAAAGCAGCCGGGGATCGCTCGGCGGCTGGGTTTTGCCTGAAGCGGCAGCTTGCCTCGCCTGCACCCCGGGAATAATGCGGAGCGCGTGGATACTGCTCACTTGTGGCTTGGTGGCCTGTGTGTCCGGGGAGTCGGTAAGTGAGGGTGGAGTGGGGGGACGGGCTTTCCCGGGGGGTGACAGCACCAGCCCTTCTCATCCTTGCCGGGCTGGGCAGTTGCTGGGGGAAGAAAGCTGCGGAGCTGTGTCCCAGCCAGGCGCAGTAGAGTCCCTAGAGGGGCAGGAGCTCCTCTGCAGATGGACGGCGAGCCCTCCCTCCAGCTGTCCCTTGTCAGTGGCTGGGGAGAGCTCTAGGCTGGGGTGAGGGGGATTGTGCAATAACCATCCCCCCTTCCAGTGGGAGACTTTGGGGCGCGGGAAGGGGGAAGAGACAACAGCCTCAAAGCTCTTGGGAGAGAAACGCGCTTCTTCCACAGAGAAGCGGGCTGGGGGGTTAAGCCCTACCGGGGAGGGAAGGGGGAGGACTAGCTGCTGCTACATCTGCTGAGCAGGAGCCTGCTGAAGTCACTTTGATGATCTGTCCAAGGGTGCGTGTTTCTCCTTTGCGCGGGGCTGTAAATTATGATTCGGGCAGAGGCATCTGTTGATAGCGGACAACTTTTTTTTTTTTTTTGTTAACAACAAAACCAAACCCTAGACCCGTGCGTGGCTGGGGAGAGTGTGAGAGAAAGACGTGACTCTTGGTGTGACCCTGCCACTCTAGAAGATAAAGTTTGGTGTTTTTCTGCGCTCTGCTGCTGAGGAGTTGTTGGTGGCCTGGAGGCGAACGTGATAGGATGGGGTTGAGAATTCACAGTCTTGCCCTAAAAACGAGTTAGAAAATCGTATTGCAGTTATTCTGATTCGCCGTGTATAGTGACAGGATAGTAATTTCTGGCTGAAGCTGTATTTTCTGAGGATTGCGATTTGCTTCTTCTAGTTAATGTATTTTTGTGGCGGGGCGGGGGGTGTAAGTGGCATAGTTAGAATGTAGAAAATGTCTGTCTTGTGTTCTTTCCTGCTTCTTTTCTAGTCAGTAATAGGCTTTTCAGCTGTAGAAACCACCAGGGATTCCTTTGGGCTGTAACAATGGTGCTATGGGGCAGCGGAAGACTTTTGGTCTGTAAGTGGTTGCACTGCTGTCTCCAGCTTTTCCTCCCCCTTCTCCCACCCAAGTAGTAGGAGTTTTGTATTCAGTTGACTCCTATGCTCCGGTTTAGGAACAATACATGTTTTCTGATTTGCTCTCCCTTAAAACTGCCCTGCCTCATGCTTTCCTCGGTTCTTCTGCCGCGAAGGGAATTGCTGCCTTGCAAAATAACTCAAATCCTGAAAATGCCCTGGGGAGTTGACGGATTCAGCTACAGCACTTACTTGTACTGTCTCCACTACCTACCGTATGTCCAAATTAAGCTACATCTTAATGTAAAAGAAGACGATGAAAACGCTCCCGTGAGGCATGTTTGTGTTCTCTTCTCCCCGCCCCTTACTGCGAAGTTAGTGTTCTCGAGTTTGTGAAATTTGGAGTCAACATGACTCCCTGGAGGTTATCGCTTGCATTCTATATTCCCCGTGCAGTTTTCTCTGTAATACTTGCATCATAACTACTGAAAAGAAACCAATAGCTCAGCAAAGTTGAGGTCTTACACCCTCATTTCTTTGGCACATAAAGTGATTTTGTTAATCTCAGCTTGCCTCTTTTCAGTTAAGGATTTAAAAAAAAACTTACTGAGAATTTTAGTGTGTCGGACAATATTATACTTTGAAAAAAGAGCTTCCTGGCTCAGACTGAGTATTTACCCTTGAGAAACATTCCAGGCAATCTGGTATCTAAAATCACAGGCAGGGAAAACAAGAGCTCTTCTGTGAGAGGAACATACAAGTGGAGCCTCCTCAAAACATGGAGAGGCTCAAGGCTGACTCTTT